CTGCAAATGGCCTTACTAAAGTCTTAGGGATTTTAAATTTAGTCAAAAGATGTCCTTTAAAGGGTAACACGTGTCAGAGATGTTTGCAGTTTGTTCAGCAGAGCCTCAGAGACAAGACCACCAAAGGTGGGATAATTGTTATGGGAAAGACAAAAGTTTGAATCATTGAAAGTTTTTTTACCTTTTATTAATTCATACTTACCTTTTCAGTCCCCCAGAGACTGATAGAAAAGACGTTTTCCTAAATATATGATAGAACATAAGGGAATTTCAATGACTTGAAAGTGATACATCATAATTAATACTGCTGTGGTCTGAGTGTGGTTGGTCCCCATCCAAATTTGTATTGAGGCTTCACCTCCAGTGTAATAGTGTTTAGAGGTGTTGAGATCTTGAAGAGGGATTAATGCTACTTAGCAGTTCTCACTCTAGGGGACTCAGCTGGTTTTCTCAACAGCTGGGCATCGCTCATCTCTCTCACAGGCGCTCTTGCACTCATGCTTACTTTCTTTGTCTGCTTTCCACTGTGACGTGAACCACCACAAGACCCTCTGGAAGAGCGGAGGAGCTGGTGGGTGTCACGCCTTTGAACCTCCAGAACTGTGAGCCAAGTAAACTTTTCATCATAACATACTCAGCCTCAGGTCACTTAATTATGAGGAGACATTCTGAGAAATGGTTTGTTCAGAGTGTACTTACATAAAAATGGCTAGGACCTCCTGAGGAGATATAATCTCATAGGACCACTATCACATATGTAGTTCATCACTGACTGAAACAATAGGCTGAATGATTACGCTTTGCTATGACAAAACAAACTGAGACAGATATATAGCAGTTTCTGTGTCATTAGTTTGTCCACAAAGCCCTGATCTACTTTGGATGTTTGAATTATCAAACATGGGGAACATAATGATCCCAAGATAATATAACCCAAGAAGACCTTAGTATGGTCACCTCAATGCACCCTATAAAGACACTCTTAATTTATATATTTATAGAAGATTGAGTTTAAGGAAATAAGAAAAAATGACTTCTGGGCATTTCATCTTCTTTCTTCCAAAGCAACAAAATAATTTGGTTTCTTATTCGATGATCTGAAACACACGGAAGTTTATGTGGTCTACAAAATCTGTAATATTTTATAATAGCAGCATGAAACTTTATGAAAAACACCCCTTTCTCACGAGTAAGTTTTAGTAAAATTCATTTTGAAAGCCTGGGGAAAAACTGCTTTTTGGGTGGGCAAATAACTTGGGTTCAGAGTATTATTAGATGTTTGGAAAGATTCATTGTGAAGGAGAAAAACATAAATCTGCTGACTTATCACAGGTGACAAATGTGAAATCAATATTCAAAGGGGATTTTAGCTCAATGCAGTGTTGGGTGAGGTCCTGGGTTCCATCTCTAGCACTATCACTTAAATACTAACAAAGCTTAAAATGTTAGACGCTTTTGCTTAATTTTTGACTAAGGTGTCATTTTACCTTTAGCCACTTGTTACTTCTTTAGCAGACAACAAAACACACCAACACCTGAGCTGTACTCCCAGTCCTATTATTTTGAGATAGGGTCTTTTCTTTGTTTTCTTTTGTTTTTTGAGACAGGGCCTTGCTATGTAGTCTAAGGTGGCCTTAAATTTGCTGTGTTCTCCTGCCTCGGCCTCCCAAGTACAGTTACAGTTGCACACCACCATGCCCAACTGAGATGCTGTTTTTCTTTTTTTTTTTTTTTTTTGTGGTTTCTGGGATTGAACTCGACCTCGTGTTTGCCAAGCCGCGCTAATGCCACTGAGCTAAACCCTGGGCTGAGATGTGGTTTTTCTAAATTGTTAAATTGATCTAGTAATCTTCTCTAGCTAGATTTGTGCTTTCTAATATGGTACCTTCGGACCTATATTTAACCATGAACTAGCCAAATGAAATAGTTAAACATGATTTTCTTCAGTTACACTAGCCATATTTCAAGTGTACAATAGCCACGTGCGGCTAGAGCTACTGTATTATCATAACACAGACCTAGAACATCTCTATGATCCCAGAGAGTTCTACGGTGAACACAGCTCTAGATTATTTTTGACTCTGACCTTTTGGCTAAATTAGATCCTATGAGCTACTCTCAGGAACGATTTAGTTTTACAGCACAGGCCAATGATCATCACATTAAGAGAATGCTGTAACCCTAGGGTATGTGTTATAATTTACAATTTGTAATATTTCTTCTAGTGACTTGGAATAGTCCTGCCCACTATTACCCACACCAATCTTCAGAAAATGAATGAATGGCCTTCTATTTCTTGGTGTTGGTTTACCTGAGCCAAGCTGGGTCACTTAAATGTCTTTGTTTTTCCCTTAGGAATTTGGAACCGGGAAGGAGAGACTTTCAGTCAGGTTCTCTGGGTATCTAGAACCATAAAATAGAGTAGTAATCATATCTCATTATGTAAAACAGAGTTGGAGAAACGAACAGAAAAACGTTTAGCACAGAATAGGCTTCCTCCTAAGCGTTCTCAACTTTTTAGGTCTCTCTTGGGGGCATTCTTATCACTTACATGAGAATCACTCGCATTGTAATAGTGAGTTCTGCTTAAGCCAGCTTAAGAATCCTAACAAAACATACACATATATTCATGTAATTGAGTACTGATGTTTGTTATTCGAGGGATATATATAAACTGCATATATTTTGGACTGTACCTTCTTGCATTATCTCCTCTTCACCTCAAGGGTATGCTCAGGCTGTCCTCTGCTTCTATTCCCTCTTGGTCTAATTAAGATATGTCATCTTTCTGGGTGTGGAAACTTTATGAAATCAAATTGTATAGTATGTTGATGACTCTTTAGCATGTATTGTTTTAATTGCTCAGGCCCAGTGACTTCAGTCACCACTGATCCCATGTGTAATCCCCCACGGATTACAATGGTGAATTTGTTTCTTGGTGGTACTAAGGATTGAACCCAAGGCCTCCCACAAAACTGCAGGTCCAGCCCTCTTTAATTTTCATTTTGAGACAGTTTTACTCAACTGCTAAGTTGCTAAGGCTGAGTTCATACTTGCCAACCTGTTTTAGCTTTCCAGTCTAGGATTACAGGCATGTGACATGCCCAGTTCCACAATGGTGAATTTTGATTATGAAAATCTGGTTTGAATACAGCTTAGTACAGTACCGAAGTCTGAGCATGCTTGGGTGAAGCAATTAGGAGACATGAGTAATAAATACCATATTTGCAGGGATCACTCACATACAAATGTCCCAGGTAAGAAAACACCACCTGTTATCAAGTAACAACGAGGAGTGTGGCATAGTGTGGAAGTGTGCAGGAGCAAGGAGAAAGCAGTATGAGCTACAGAAGGTAAAAGGTTACAGTAGTATCTGAAAGGTAAAGGAGAGGTAGTAAAAGGATTTAAGTTCTTACGTGTTTTTAAAAGAAATCACTGTAGCACTTTCTGGAGTGTGAATCACAAGATAAATAAGGGAACAGTTAGGAGGCCACCATGAGTGTTGGCAAGAGATAATCATAGCCTAGGGTATGAGGAGGAATGCAGACAATAGAGATGGATAATTTTGTGCATGTTGCCATTTGAAACTTAGAGGATTTAAAAATGTAAGCTTTTACTGATGGGCTCCTCCACCTTTTAAGGACCCAGACCCCTGTAGTAAAGCAGTCAATGAAGTGAACTTAAAAGACCCTACAGTGGCAGAAAGGTCCTCATTTTCTGTTTGAAATAGCTCAGGGTTCAGCTATCAAACTTTGATTCCCGCGGTGATCCTGAGTAAACATTTTGTCATTTTTCCCTCTCTCTTGCCAGTGAATTTTGAGAACTAGTAGTTGAAAAATGATTTTCAACAAGAGGACAGCAGTGTTTGGGGGTTCAATGACACTAAATCTTAAACTTCAAATAGATAATAGTTCTAAAGCTGGCACCGGTTATTTTACACTGCACCAAATGACAGAGAAGACATTTTTGTTAGCAATCTTACTGCATATAAAAAATACTGCATACACCTTGTTACTAGAGACTACTGAGGAAAACTCCTACAAAGTATTCCTTTAATGACGGATTCCCTCATCCATCCCAGTGGTGCGCGCCTTGGGGCCCCTTCCCGCCTGCAATGCCCTGCACGCATTGTCTGGGCCACCCCAGACCCGGCTGGCACGCAACGCGCATTTCCTGCACGCTGTCACTGCGCGACAGCTTCCCTCCCCAGATCTGCAGCTTTTGTTTGTTTCCTCCTAGGTCTCGCTGTTACTAGGTGAATGACTACGAAGTTTTCTCTGGGCTGTTAACCTTTAGGCCTCTGTCCACTAAAAGTTCTGAAAAACAACTAAACGCAATCGCTTGTGCAGAAGCCAATCCACAGGGCAACAACGGAAATCAACACACTGCTGTTTCTTTCCTTAACTGGCCGCTTCCCGCGCACATTTAGGTTTTACTTAAAGCTACGCTATAGAAAAGCCTCCCAGGAGAGAGTATCTGTCCCTTGCATCCCTCCGCGACGCAGCACTCTCTCCCGCGAACGGGGGCGCGGGGCAGGGGTCGCGAGCCGAGCGGGGCCAGCCTCCGAGCAGCGACGCTCTGGCCGGCGCTCGCTCGATGGTTTTCGCACGGGAGCGGGGATCGCACGGTCCAGTCGCCAGGGGGCGCGCTGGCTGGCGCCACTGATTCCGAAGTACGCGGCCTGATCGTGTCCGCCATATTGGATGCCGCAGCCGCCGCTGCCAGCGCTTCCTCTCTGTCTTCGCGGTGCGCTGCTGGTTCCTGTGGCCCAAGCGGCGGGGAGGTGAAACAGTAGCGTGTGGGAAGAAAAGGAAGAAAGGGGTGGAGAACATAGGGGACGGGGCCCGAGGGTGGGGGACCGAGACAGAGTGGGGCGGAGAAGAGAAGGCGCCGCGCCAGCCCCTCCCCCGCCCGCCGCCGACCCGCCCCAGCAGGCACTGTCCCCAGACCGGCGCTTCGCCCGCCCAGCAGCCATGCCTGGGCCCCACCGCCCCTGAGGGTGCCCTCGCCAGCCAGTGCCTCCCTCCCGCGCTGCCCCAGCTCGCAGCAGCTGCTCTCCCGCCGGCGTCCGCGTCTCGCGCTCTCCACCCGGTACAGCTGCAGCCGCCTCTTCCGCCACCCAGCTCGGGCCTCCGCGCAGACAACATGGAGGCCGTGAAAACCTTCAACAGCGAGGTTAGTACTGAGGCCTAGCTTCTTCCCTAACTCCCTCAGCCCTCGCCCCCGCTCGGGACGGGGCTGGCGCGCCGGGGGTGGGTGCGGGCTTGCCGGGGTGGGGCGGCGGCGGCCTAGCCGTGCCGTGGGGGGAGGGGATTTTCTCCGCGCCCCTCCCCCGGGGCCGGAGAGGGCGGGGGAGGCCCGCGGGGCGGAGGGAGGTTCCGCCGCTCGGCGCCCTATGGTCGGCCGCGGGTCGGAGGCGAGGAGCGCTTGGGCCCTCCCCCCGAGGCTCCGCGGGTCTCGCGGGTCAGTTTCTCCCAGGCCTGGCCCGCCCACCTCCTTCCTGAGCCTCGGGGGTTTAACGGTCCCGAGGTCGGCCGTCCCTAGACAGACCTTCCCAGGTCCTCAAAGAGGCGATGGGTGAAGAGCTACGAGCTACGGGGTGGTGATCTGTGGCCTCATCACATGTAGCGTCTATAACTGCGATACTGTTGACTAAATAATTTTCAGCTAGGGGCTTAGGTTAATTGGCTGGTTGATAGATACGCAAGACTATTCCGCGATTTTTTTTTTTTTTTAATTTGCCTCTCTCTTACTCATTACGACATACACAAATGCAGTGGTGGGGAGCAATCAGTGCATTCAGGAAAGATGCTGGGGAAATAGTTTCCCACGGGCTCCTTCACGTGTCAAATGTAGTACGAGATTTTTTTAAATATTAAAATAAATTGTCTGCTTTTGATTGTTAATTGAACTTACTGATCGAAGGGAAAGGAAAGCTTTAAAATGTATTGAATTTCTTTTAAGCAGTGATTTTACTGGACTTACACACACATTAAACACAATAAGTACACAAACACAAACAGCATTATTCTTATCTGTATGCTTTTGAAATACCTGAATACGATAGTAGAACAAATTAGGGAAATTTTTAATGAGCTTTCGATTAGGAAGTGTTAATACTTAATTCAGTAGTATAGCTGTTAATGGTCTCTTAAATAGCAAACTAATGATAACCCAAATAAGGACAGTACTTCTAAATTTTATTCTTTTCCCCCTTTAAGGATTAAGAAGTTTAGCAAAAAGGCTAAAAGTGAGGTAACATGTGAATTGACCTCACCATTTTTTTTTTTTTTAATCGGTACCGGGGATTGAACTCATGACCACCCGCTTCCAAGGCAGGTGCTTATGCTGCTGAGCTAAATCCCCAGCCCCAACCTCACCATTTTTAAACTTGTGGCAGCACATGAACCTTTGTGAAGGATTCTGCTTTTTAGAGCTAGAATGTCTTAAAACGACTTTTTGATAAAATATAGCAGTAGATTTGAGAATTTTTAGGAATTTATAACATAATTTGGGCAAATATTTCCATTTGTAAAATTTGGTTTCCACCCATACTGCATAGAATGTAGAATATAGAATAAAATCAGTGATATTACATGTTCAACTTTCTGTAACAGTTCTGTAACATAGTGAGCCGGGGATTGTAGCTCTTTAATTTGCTACATACAGTACTACAGCCCTAATGTTGAGGCTTTAAATAAGTTCCACAGCAGGGTACTTGATTTAACCCTTTTCCTTTTGTTCTGTATCTCTCCTTAGGAGGGAATCTCACCTTTTTAGGCCCCCCCCCTGCCCCCCGCCAGGTTTTAACGGGAGTCCTTAAGTGGTTAGTGCATTATGGTCAGAGTGGACAATAAAAATGTCAGTTTTCATGTTCCTATAGATTTGGGATAAAGGGCTTAATGTTTACATGCTTGACTGGGTGTGCTGACTCTTACCTAATCTTCACAGGAATTTGAGATTTCTTGGTACCAGGGATCGAACTCACCCCCCCCCTCCACCCCCAGCTTGCAAGGCAGGCGCTTATGCTGCTGAGCTGAGCTAAATCCCCAGCCCCGGAATTTGAGATTTCTTATAGGCCCATTTTTATGTATATAGCACTTTTTCTCCCATTTGGATTTGGATAGCTAAAATACATCTTTTTCTCACTGATATTCTCTAACTTCATTCTTTAAACTGAGTTAGTTTAAAATAATATAGAGTCAGGAATTGAGAAAGGGAAATATATTAGAGAAAGATTCGTACAAATGCTTTTTGTTTAAACAAATTATATAACTGTTAAAAATTTTTATTGCAACATTCTTGAATTTTGTAATTGTGAAAATAGGCATATGCTGGGAAGCAGTTCAGTAACTTTCGTTAAATCGGACGTGTTGTAAAGCAAAAAAATTAAAGACTCGATTGTAGGAGAAAACAATATTTTAGAATGCTTGCTTCAGTGAATTTGGCTTTTTGAGAGGATCCATGTGTCAGTTTGGCCTTTCGAAGCATTTATTTTAGGGTTCATGTCTTCAAAACTTAGTAAATTAAGGTGTCTTTAGAACATTTATCAGGCATCCTAGCTCTTTAAGAATTATTAATGTTTGTCCACAGGATATTTTTATTTTTAAAATGTGAATTGCTTAGTTTTTTATGACTTTCCAATTTTAGGTTTTTCAAGACAGAAATCCTCTATTCCCGTTTTTTAATTTAACAGAGAACACTGACTTGAAAGTATGCACATGCCAGAAGAGTTTTAAGCTGATAGACTTTTAAATCTGCAAAATGAGATTTTCAGTCTGTGAAAACCCCTGACCTACAGGATATATATGAGTCATTGTTAAAGTATCTTTCCCTTTCCATTATAATGTCTTGAAGTTCTCTGGTCTCTCTTTTTTTCTTTTCTTTCTTTCCTTTCTTATATCCACCTGCCATAGTCCGGCTGTCCATCCATCTTTCTTTCTGAGGCTGAGTCTCACTATGCAGTGGCCTTGAGCTCACTTTGTAGTCCAGGCTGGTCTCGAATTTGCAAGTCTTCCTGCCTCAGCCTCCCAAATGCTAGGATTACAGGTGCTAGGCTCTCATTCTCCTGTTAAAAATTATGTCAGAACCACAAACGGGAAAATATACAAACTAAAATTTACACATTCATTATCCTACTTTCCATTTTTCTCTATCAATCCATAACTACCACTAGATTTTAGTGGGAAGGTTATAAAACATCACCTAATTTGACAGAATGTCCACTACAGATACAAAATTGGAAATTAAGTAAAATGGAAGTGGTTTTGTTTATGGTTTCGATTGTGCAGGAATGATATGACAAGGTCCTCTCATTGAATATAAATCGAATCACTCAAGTGATTTTTTTAAACCCCTCCCTTCCTATTCCCTACAGGACCTTCTAACTGCGTCTACCTCCCCCTCTTTTTGTTTTCTTTACATTTTAAGGCAGTGTTAATTCTAAATTGCTTAGACTGGACTTAAAAGTTTTCCTGCCGTAGCCTCCCAAAGTGCTGGGGTTTTTACGGGGTTGTATCATCATGCCAGTATCATTAACTGCCCACCTTGCTAATTTTGTGTGGCAGCTGATTTCCTTTCAAGCATCTTCACTGTGATGAAAGTGTTTATTGCATGACCTTTGCCATCTGAAATGATGGGAAATTCATCCAGATTGAAAGATGGGCAGTTAACCATAGGGGGATTATGAGTACTGTACAAGGTATTGAAGTTAGTGATGCTCCAATAAGGTAGGATGGTATTTACTTGTAATGATTTAGAGTTCTCACCTAGTGAAAAGCAACTCATACCAGACTGCTTAAATTTAGCATGCATTCAGTTGCTGGAATGCAATGTATTCATTCTCTCTCTCTCTGTCTTTCTCTGTCTCTGTCTCTTTCTTTCTTTAATGCAGTATATTCTGTGACCAACTATGGAGGTCATTCTGATAGAGTCCCTTCCCTTCACCTAACCTTGCTTTTTCATTTTCTTAAAAAAGGGAGAAGGGTGGAGGTTCATGACCTTTGAGCATTTTTTCTTTGAACATTTCTACTTATTTGGAGAAGATGCTTTAAAATACAGGAACTTTTATTGCATATTAAAAATATAAGAGCTTGTTAGCAATTGTTAGCTTAGACAAATAACAAGGTAGCTCGTGTATGGATTCTTTTAATTTTTTAAGGACTTGGAAAATGTAGTGCGTGTATTGTTATCACATTTCAAGAAATTAATACATCTTCAACATAACCAAATACCAATTGGTGATCAGGTTTTCAAGGTCCTCCTATAGTTAGTTGCTTCTAGTTTTTTCCCCTCATGACCCATTTCTTTTGCTGCTTTGAATAGAGTGAGTAGGAGGAGGTAGGACTGGATCTGTAGGTTTGAAATGTGTCAGAAAAATTAATTTTTGGATTTACTGTTTTTCATAAATTTTTGGTTCATAAATTCTGAAAGGATTCTGTTTTGCTGCTTATCATTTTTAGTTTTTGATATTTGTCTTTAGAATCTTTGTTTAGTCACGCAATCTTCTAAACTGTTCTAGGAAACAAACTTAATCAGACTCACTAGAAAGCCAGTAAATTTTCTGTCTTCACAGCAAAAATCCCATTTCCATTTTACTTAATTTCTAATTTTGTATCTATAGTGGACATTCTGTCAAATTAGGTGATGTTTTATAACCTTCCCACTAAAATCAAGTGGTAATTATGGATTGATAAAGGAAAATGGAAAGTAGGATAATGAAAGTATAAATTTTAGTTTGTATATTTTCCCGTTTGTGGTTCAGAAAAAAGAATTTATGTAAAGTAGCTTTGAATTGATTTTTATAATCCTAGGAGTCTCTTTTTCCTTCCCCTTTTTATTTTATAGTGGGAGTTCTGGTTCCATCAGGCTACATATATATATATATATATATATATATATATATATTTTTTTTTTTTTTTTTTTTGTTTCTGTCTCATTAAAAATTCTTTAAAGGCACAGCATACTTAGTGTTGTGAAGGGAGGAAGCCTTGACTAACTCTTCCCAGAGATTTAGTTCAAGGCTTCTTAATATTGGCACTATTGGTATTTTAAGCTGGATAATGATTTGCTGTGTAGAGTGGCTTTGCACACTGTAGGATGTTTAGTAGTATCCCTGGCTCATATCCCCTAGTAACATTAGCAATTTTCCATTTGTGAAAACTATAAATGTTTTTTGGTATCACCAAATGCCCCTTGGAAAGCAAAGTGATCTTGATTGAGAATCACTGACTTGAGTCCCATGTTAAATCCTAACTCTAATCTTAATTGTACATTTTCTTCTAGTGATTACTGATTTACTCCCAGACTATAAAGTTTTTGGAAACAGAAGTCATACATCTTTCTTGCTTAATATCTCGGGTTTAGTGTAAATATCAAATAAGGATTTCTTGAATAAATAGATGGTATACTATTTAGCTGAATTACCTTGGGCAAAATTAATTATCATTTCTGGACATTTAGTTTTAAAATACATGACTAATTTGGTTTCATATTTAGGTTCCATATTAATAGGAAGATTGACTGATTCAATACAAAGTTAATTTTTTGAGGACTTAATATGCCCAAGCATTAGTTTAAAGGTTGTTTTTATGGCATTGTAGGAGTATAGGTGGAAAATTTTAAATCAGAACTCTGATCTGAGTGTAATTTTCAGTTAACTGGGGTGGAGAAAAGAGATGAGGACTTTTTCAGTAAAGGTTCCAGTTAGATTAAATTCATCCAAAGTTTTATGTTTGTATATAATTATGCTCTATTTTCAAATCCATTTTTTGCCTTATTGTTTTAAAATGAACATAGTAAAAGACTTTTCTTACATTAAGATTTAGATATAAAGGTAATTGAGATTGGCATAATGATTCTAGAACTCTGCACAGTGTTAATCTTTATTCAAGATTAAATATAAACCTTCTGGTAAGATTTAAATCCACATCATATATAACAATTACTTTATTCTAGATTAACGTTGAATTTGCTTCTTTTCTCAAAGAGTATAGCAAACTTAGAATTAGTAATGATGTTACTACATATGTATGAAATTTCAGATACCTCTTTCTATGGCCAGTTTTGCTGTTATTGGACAACTTCTAACTCATAAATGATATGAGAATGTATTTCAATCTTGAACAAGGGTTGAGCTCCAGAACTCTTTAAGTGAGCTCATTTTATATGGTTTTGTTTTCTCAACATCTTTCTCTACTCCTCTCTCTCAGGATTGTGCCTCTACTCCTGCTTGTACAGACTGCTTTTCCAGCAGCATGGACACAAGAAGCATAGTAAGATGATTATAACCCGCATAAGGCAGGCCCTTTGCAAACTGTTAGGTTTAAATTGGTAGTAAAATGATGTCTTGATTATGTGAGTAGTACTTGGGAAACAGAATGGGGTTTGTCAGAACATACAAATAATCTTAAAGAGAACATATAGGGAATATGTTGAATTTCTGAGGAATTTTGGAATTTCTTTCAAATAAAATGGAGAGTTTTTAGGCTTAATTTAACAGTGAGCGTAGGTCATACATAAACTTTTTGCAATGAGACAATTATGAGTATTAGGTTATTGTTTTTTACAAGATATATTTTTTGAATCATTCTGCAGTATACATTCAGTGTACCTTCAATGTACATTCTGCTCCACATATTTTTATTGTGGTTTTTTGTTAAAAGAAATGCAATATTTAATATGAGCAAATTGAAGACCTCTTAGTTTGATATTTGGAAATAAAGTCCATCTTTTGAGGAAGTTTTTAAATTTTAAGGTAGCAAATTGACAGGTTATAAGAACAGAGAAAGACGAAATCAAATTTTAGATATTCTAATTATAGAGGAGCAGATTGTGGTGAGGATGCTTTAGTTATGGAAAGTAAATGCTGATGAGAAATGTTTGTAGAGCCTGTGATTTCTTATATGAGTTAATTTTATCTTAGATTTGCTGGCAAACAATGCATTTATCTTGATTTTTATTTTATGCAATTATTTTTGTAATTCTATGTGGTGAGAATTTCTGATAAAACTGTATTTTAAACTTAGGAAAGAATATGTAGATGTATTATAGAAGCTACTGTTGGTCAAAAAATACCTCAGAAACTTCGATATTACCTATTACAGTGAGAATGAAGAATAGATTATTGATGTGTTCTCTAAAGACAGTTACAAATACTAGGTTAATGTTTTTACAAAGTTTGTTTTAAAAATGATTCTGTAACTTAATGATTTTTTTTTTTCCTGATATGGGGGTTAAGTTTGGCGTCTCACTTGGCTAGCTAAGTAAGCATGATATCCCTAGCCACATTCCCATCCAACTTCATCTAATTTATATTGGTTGACTCGAAAGAACTAGGATTTCTTTCTTTCAATTATTTGTTTAAATTTTTGTGAATGGGTATCATTTGCCAGTCACTTTTCTGACTTTGCAATACAAACTGGGAAAGCAAAAACATCACTATGTTGAAACTTGTTTTTGTGATCCATTTCTTTTTACTTCATCATCATTGTATCTGGTGAGCTTCCTACAAACCTGGTGAGGCAGGACAGGACACTGACTTCAGAGTTGCTTATTTAGTAGGGACTGGGCTGGTGGCTGCACTTCTACCTGACCATCCTTAGGATTTTGTCTCACAGTTAGATTGCTTAGCTGTTGCTCAAAAATAGAAATGAGTAGGTAGATATATTTAAACAAAGGTCTGCTCCACAATGGGAAAATAAGACTGGCACCATTACATTTTATTCAGTACCAAATTTTATCACTTAAAAAAAAAAGATTTTAAATCTTTACTGTTTCTGGAACATAACTTTAAGGACTTTTTTTTTTTTAATCAGCAAGATAATAGTCTTCTTATGTACTTGTTTTTAAGTGGTGACTACTTAAAAGAATGTTAATTTTTTAATTTTTAAAAACAACTTTTTCTTGATTTAAGTACATGAAAAAAGGTATCTACTTTCTGAATTTGGTTGTAATTGTTAAGGTTTATGTTGGTCCCTTATGGATGAAAGGATGAAACAAACCGTCCTTGTACTTGAATGGATAGAACTTGGGAAATAACCTATATATCTATATATTAGTGATACTTGATCACAGGATCTCACAAATTGACCAGATAGTACTTGATGACTTTTTTAAAATTTAGTAATGTTTTTAGTACTGTAAAACTTTATGAAAAATTTCTGTGTTTGAATTTGTCAGAATACTTGAAACATGGGTAAAAGTCCTCTGAAGCAAAAGGTTGTTTTGTTTTGGTGCTGGGAATTGAATCCAGGGCATTGAACATGGCTTGCATAACTGCGACTGAACTGTACTATACCCACAGCCATGGCATAAATGAGTTTTTGCTTTATCATTTTTTCTTCTTCTTAGATGAGTCGTAAATAAGTTAAGTGTTTTAAAACTAAAATATTTGTTCCCACAGATATCCAGTTTTATTTAACACCTGCTTTACTTTGAAGTGCTTTTATTTTACCAAACATTTGTTTAAAAGGAATGAATATAGCTGGATGTGGTAGCATAAGCCAGTATTCCTAGCACTCAGAGGCTGTGGAAAAGAAATGCTGTGAGTTTGAGGCCAGCCTGGGATGCATACTGAGACCTTGTCTCAAGAAAGAAATAAAAATAAATAAACAATAATGACTGTAATATAGCCATCCTGGGGTGTCTGAGGAGAATTGTTCCAGGATAACACCTTGCCCTCACTCGTAGAAACTCAAGTAGACACTCAAGTTCCTTATATAAAATGTCATGATATTCTCACACATACTTCACATCATTTTTAGATTACTTACGTTATCTAGCACACTAAAATTGCCGTGTAAATATTTTGTGTTATTTAAGGAATAGTGACAAAAAGTATATGTTCAATACAAACACAGTTTTTTTTCTGAATAGTTTTGAATTGTGGTTGGTTGAATTCATGAGTGTAGAACCCATAGTTAAGGAAGGCTATTTATGTGATGTTTTATATAGTACTTTTCCTTTTTCCCATATCAATATGTCCATTAAATGTTTAGGATAACTTTGTAAGAAAGGTTAAATAGATGCTACCCTACTTCACAAAGTAAGAAAACTAAGATCTACCTTTGTGATTTTAGCAAAGAAATACATTTTTTAGGTATGAGAAACAGGGACTTAAAGACCCAGTATCAGTCTCTGGTGCACATGTTTTTCTTACTCTTCTGGGTAAGAGAGAACAGTCACTTAATTTTTCTTCATTCTTTTTACTTTAGACATGTCCAGATACAAATTGAATATATTTTCCCTCATTTTTTAGACTTTATAATGTCACAGAAATTACAAAAGAAAGAATTTTTGTATGCATTTTGTCTGAATTTCTTTACCTGGTGTTAACTGTATTTGCTTTCTTATTTCTCCACATGCACATGAACACAGATAACCTTTTTTTCTGAATATCTTGAGATACATTTCAACTCATGGTGCACTTCTAAATAGCTGTGTACATTTTCTTAAAAAGATATATTTTTATTTAACCATAGTAATAAAAATTAAAACATTGATTTTATTATGTATGAAGTATGAAAATCTTTTTCAAATTTAATTAATTGTGCCAGTACTGTCCTTAATTTTTTTTTAAACAAAGTATGTAGCCCGTGGCAATCTTCCTGCCTCAGTCTCCCAAGTTCTGAGCCTACAGGCATTTGCCACTATGCTCAGCTCTGAATAAATCTTACCATACTTTAACATTCATTTGTCATCTTTACTCTGGAACAGTTTGTTACTTACTTTTTTAATAACTTTCGAGATAATAGGTGTTGAAGGCAGGCCAGTTTTTAGAATTCTCTCAGTATTAATTTGAATGCTGTTTCTTCTTGGTTAGGTCATTCATTTTTGCCAGGAATACTCTAAAAGTGATAGGTCTTTCACTGTACCATATTAGGAAACATAATATCCATTTAGTCCATTAGTAGAGATGTTAACTTTGATCTACTTTGAACTCTTGGATATTTTATTAATTTTGGGGGGTAGCTCTTTTCTCAAGTTTGACCAATCAGAGTTCCTTCAAATTAACTCCTGTAACCTTTTGATGCATGCTGATTTTTAAAATTTTTATTTTGAAAAGAATAAAACCAAATGAGAAAAAAATGGAGTCATTCAAAACAAAAGGATGAACATAGTACATGATTTAAAACTACATTACAAGGTGATCTACAATGGTTACCATAATGCCTCTTGTTATCTTCGATAGAGTTGCCCATATTGTCAAGCACATTAAAATTGAACATAGCAGTACAGAACAAAATCAATAAAAACAAAATATTTGAGACATTATAGGTCTTCAAAAGAAGGTAATAGTCAACCAGAATGGGTATCATAGTGAATCTTACTCTTTTCAGAATAGTTGCCTATACTCTCAGACTTGATACTATCAAATATAACAGATTTGAATAAAATCAGTCAAGACTAAGACAGTGATCGAACAAAACAGATTCAAGTAAAAATCAGCTAAAGCAATGCAGAAAGCAATACAAGGTTCCAGATTAAGTTTATAGGAAATTATAAATGCTTATCTTAGGATATCCTGCTATCTTTGGAATAGCTGTGTATGCCCTCTAGTCTAGTACAAGTAGGCAAACTGGAACTGAATATAATCAAACAGTGATGAAAATAATATGGGTTTCAAATCATGATACGAGATTAACAATGTCTTCTGCCTTCCCTTGTTAGACAATTCCTCCCTTTTCACTTTCACAAGGTACATTGTACATTTTGTATCCCACTAACTCCTTTAGTTTTTAGATTGGGGAGACAACCCACTATTCACCTAAGTCCTTCTGAAACTTTTTACCACTGAGGTTGGTCGCAAGTTGTATCCATTTGCCTACTGGAGCCTCAAGGTTCTTCCTTGTAGCAGAGTAGTTCTCCATTGTTTAAAGTGTTATGTCTTTCCAACCAATCTGTAGCTGATGGTCAAGTTACCCCCACTTTTATCTGATTCCCTGTCACATAGAGCATTGTGTTCTCATCTTTGACTTTCAGTCCATAAACCCTCTTTCAGGTTAAATATATTTCTTATATAGAGCATCTTGGTGAACCCTATCTCCTGATCCATTTTGCCTCTGTTTCTTTTTATTAATGTATTGAGGCCATCCCATGTTAGCGATTATGGCCAACCTTCTCTGCCTTATTTTTGCCATGCTATTTTTCTGCCATTGGTTATCTACTTTTCCCCTTTATTCCACTATCTGCCCCATTCAGTGAGCCTCCTCTGCCACTGTTCTGAAACCATGGTCTTTTTGTTCTGTCTTTCTAGAATGTCCTTCAGTATTTT